ACGACAGGGCACGTTTTGTACTGCAACTAAACAAAAAGGTAGCGAAACAGAACAGAAATCCAGGTCGGGAATAAGCACCTCTGCCATTCAATTCTCGGTCACGTTTGAACACCCGAACATGCTGAACACGGCTACAACTCACAAACGTGCCGGGGATTGAGTTCGACCAGGTTCATCTTTTTCGAACTTGTATCTGAAAATCGACAAAAATTCGCCTGAAGTTCGGCCTTTGTGAGCATATGCGAAAATTAAAAGCGGCCAGACGCCACCTGGTGGAGGAAATGCGCTATATTTGTTGGGTATATTTCTTTATTGTTTTACTTTCAAGGGGCGGTGCAAAGATATTCAATTGGAATGTTTTTTTTTTACTTTACACGAGTTTACTGGCACTCGTGGGGCCCAAATATACTCGCCCGCAACGCCATCGACCAAAAAACCGCTTTGTAGTGGTGTAATCTCAAGAGTCAAGGATAAAAGCGAGCGTTTTCTCTCCTTCGCAAAACTTGATGACGTATCGTGAGGGTCGCAGTATCCCCAGCGATGATATTTGAATGCAGCTTATAGATTGAACACGGACATTGCTTGAGTACTCGATTTGGGGCTCGTGATAATCAATACCTCGACAAGCATTCGGGTCCAATCGCGGCAATGACGACAACAGCCGAACCCTTACGATGTCTGGAATTCAGCGCGTGTCCTGTGCTTTGCCAACCTCAGCGCGTAGCTGTGATTAACGGGTAGCGGAGAAAAGCTCACTGGAGAAAATCTCACCGGAGAAAAGCTCACCGGAGAAAAGCTCACCGGAGTAAAGCTTACCGGAGAAAAGCTCACCGGAGAAAAGCTCACCGGAGTAGAGCTTACCGGAGAAAAGCTCACCGGAGAAAAGCTCACCGAAGAAAATCTCACTAGAGAAAATCTCACCGCAAAACCGGCAGATGCGGAGAAAAGCTCACCGATTTTTAAAAATTGTTTATTAACTTAGCGGATTCTGCGTCACACGTTTCAATTTAACACAATTCGAATTCGTCACTTCATTAAATATATGTCCTCGTGTTTGTAATACTCTTGAAGTGCATTGGGCATGCATATTCATTCCTCAGAAATTAGTAATCACCCATTCTGTATATTAATGATACCGCAAGTATAAAATCAGAACATCGGACACCGATAAAAAAACAATTTATTAACAGCTGACTTTGCGCCCTTGGTAACTCTGTCAGATAAAGAGGTTTCTTTTTTGCGAGCTAATATGAATAACGGTGTGTGAACCGCTTCAGCTCAAAAGATTGTGTAGTGCCTGAAGATAAGTTTTGTGTTTGTTGATGTAATCAGTGTCGGCTAAGCTGTTTTCTTTCTGTTAATTTCACTAACAAAACTTTAGCTGCGAGAACAGCTTCCTCCTCTCGTGCTGTCTTCACTACGTCGTCGTCGTCGTTTGAGTGGTTTTTTTATCATGTATAACGTTTACCAACTCGCCCAATTCCCTACACAACAGAAGACTAGATCTTTTGTAAATATCCTATACTCCGCGACAACTTTTCTTGGCAATGCAGTGGAAGGTACAGGCCCGCGTTCCCTCTCCCATTTTGAGTGTACGCAGGCTCTCCTCCTCTCCCCATTTCCGGGGAGAGGAGGAGAGCCCGCTCACACTTCAAATGGGAGAGGGGACGCGGGCCTGTGCCTTCCACTGCATTGCCAAGAAAAGTTGTCGCGGAGTATAGGTCAATCAAGACGTTTGAGAATTACCTATACTCGCGGTCAGCTTTCTGTGGCAATGCGGTCAATGCTAGGGGAGAGGGTGCAGGAACCGCTGTACACGCGCTTTCCTCCTCTCTTCGGATTGTCACAGAAAGCTGACCGCGAGTATAGTAACCTATATTTTAAACCTTTCGTGACCTGCTGTTTGTACTCCAATATTTAATTTTCTTTTTCTTTTTAATTTTTAAGCCAAATTGATATTTTATCAAATGCTGATGTATGTGATACGTGTGAGAATGATTCTTTTTTTTTTTTCTTTTTTTCTTATATATTCTCTGTTGAGTGCTGTAAAAACCTGGGGCTGGCGTCCTGTCAGAAGACGAGCATGTCTTCTTTTACCATAGCCCCAGATTTTTTCGTCTAAATTAAAAAAAAAAAAAAAATACAAATACAAATTTAGGTCACGAGTAACAACGATGACAGTGCGCAGCTCTGAAGGTCATGGGTGACTCGCTGTAGAAGGGCACTATCACACAAAGGCAACGTGTGGAAACACGATCACGAACGACGAGAAAACGTGCATGTCCGTGGAAAAATGCAACCTCGATATCCTACTGACAGTTTTATCCTGCTTTCAAAAATTAACAAAAACTTCAAATAGAATTTCAGGCACCGCGTTGTTGCGCATGCACTTTCAGATTTTCGGCATTTACAGTTCTGGTTTTTAGGTCTTAGGCAGACATTATTAGGTTTTCGAACTTTGTCCTGTTCTTCAAGCTCATAAAGTTTTCAGTTAGGCTTTTGTTGCCCAGATAGAAAACCGCAGAAAATGCTCGCCCGCAATTATTAGTTTGGGAGCAATATACCTAATAAGCTTAACAAATAATACAAAAAAAGTAGATTTTCTCTTTTAAAAAGTTGACGAATTTTAATGATAATAAATTGGGACATGTTACGCGTGATCCAACAGCCTCCATTTAAAAAGAAGAAACAAAAAAATCGGTGAGCTTTTCTCCGCATACGCTCAATGGCCGGTGAGCTTTTCTCCGCATCCGCCGGAGCTTTGTGGTGAGCTTATCTCCGGCGAGCTTATCTCCGGCGAGCTTATCTCCGGCGAGCTTATCTCCGGTGAGCTTATCTCCGGTGAGCTTTTCTCCGGGATTCGTGATCAACATTGGCGGCAAATAATCAGCTCCAGATCACGTGGCCGTTTTTTTTCTAGTACATTGTATTCTGGCTGCGAGTTGAGGGGGTGAACGCTGCCCGTTTTTCTTTCATTTGTATGCGACTTCTATTGCGTGGGCAGAAAAACGAACGCGTTTTCATTGGTCATAAACGTCAGGGATTCGCTCTAAGCGGTATTCGCGCAAAGCACAAAAATATTTGCACCGCTCCTTTAATAAAACTAGCTAAAGCATGAAAAAACTAAATCTTTTTGCTTTTATGATGTGCAAACGTTGGGAACGATTTTATGTAATGCACAATGAACTATTAAAAAAAAAAAAAAACACGTTTCCCTTCTTTTTTTTTGCGTGGTTTTTTGGCGGCATCGTTTAGAAGTCGAACTTCGTCGAATTTTGGGGAAAGTCAAAGGTTCGCCGAATCATTCGAGCCACAGATTCGAGAAAAGTTCGCCACACCACTGTGGAGGCCAATAAGAGCCAGAATAGTCACGGCAATACTCAAACTTCCCAGCCTGTTGCAATGAAAATCTTAAGGACAAGAATACCCGTTAGACGGGCTACTGGTTCTGCCGCCTGAATTGAAAAATGAACAGGATATACCCGTTAGACAGGAGATGGAGGGTTAGCAGCGGAACTCCACGTCTGGTTTCGGTTTTAATGTTTGAATCATCTGCTACTGCTGCGCGTCCTGTCTGGTGTCGTCTGCTTCCGAATTCTAACGGCCGGCGGCCGATCATATCTGCCACTTATGGAGCAGATCAAGCCCCGGTGTTACTGAAACGTTTCCAGCATGTTACATTCAACATCCTGATGACAATTATAGGATTAGAACCTAAATTCCACGTCTGGTTTCGATTTTAATAGTTGAATCGTCTGCCGCCGCCACCCGTCCGTCGTCTGCTTCCATGGAGGTGGGAATAAGGGGAGGGCGACATACAGGCTCAAGCCAGCCAAACGAGAAAATCTCGAGTGAAACCGGAAGTAGATGTTGCTACAGTGTTCTAGAATCTAGAACACTGTAATGTTGCAGTCGGTGGGAGTGCCCCCATGGGTGCCTCTCCAAACCGGAAGTTTCCCCCGGCTGTCGCCTCCAGAAGCTTCCTACCTCCATGTCTGCTTCGAACAGTCGGCGGCCGATCGCGTCTGCTACTTGTGCAGCCACTCTACCCTAGGAGTGCCACCGCGTTATGAAAACGTTCCCAGCGTGTTGCCTTGACACTTGTGGATTCATTAAAACTAGGTCATACACCGGCTTACTGAAGAATTGTCTACTGCTGCGCGCCCTGACCGAACTGTCTAATCTAAAATGCACCTTCATATATCTTAATTCTCCACATAAAAGGGGACATTAGTCCGCGAAGAGCCGGACTTTTTTTATTTTTTATTACGGATTTTGAGCTGGTTGTAATATTGGAATCGTCGGCTACTGCGGCGCGTTCTTGCCGGCGTCGTCTGCTTCCAACCGTCGGCGGCCGATCGCGTCTGTTTCAGGTGTCTCGTCTGCTATTAAAGCACACGCAAGGCGGCGGCGCATAATAGCGGCGTCATACGATGATACGTGTCCTGTACGTCACGCGAAGTGTCGTTTCAGCGGTTTTAACGGCAAAGAACAGATGGGAGGGCGTCACGCATCGGAATGCACAAGCTCCGATATTTTAGTAGCGTAGCGAAAGAGCAACGCAGAGAGAGAGATTGGAAGAGGAGGAGGAGGATTAGCGCGTGGGTAGGAGGAGGAAACTCTGGCTGGTGCCGGTGAAAACGCTTTTATAAATGTATTTGTTGCGATCTTGATTTCTTTAACGTTTATTCTGTTGTTAATAATTGATTGTTCCTTCGTATCACTCACGTTTGCACGCCACCCCTGGCTTATTTTCTTCGCTGTCAGGAGTGGTGTATATTGTTTGCGGAGGCGATGGCTTGCGGCTACTCGGGTGACCCCGGCTTTCGGTTTGACGAGTACATCGGTGCGGTTGGCGTGCAAACGAAGACACGTACGAATCCAACTTTCAAATAAACGGTCGTTCAAAAACGGACTTTTCACCCCTACAAAGCCCCTTCCCCCGTTTTCTGGAAAGGGCAACGTCGGAGCGGGCGACATCGCCGGCGGCTTAATTTTTTTCTTTTTTTCTTTTTGCCCACGGCCGGAACATCCAGTCTACGCAGCACTAGACACATAGGCTTATTTCCCCTTCCTATCGGCGTCCCCGCACTTTTTAAAAAAAGTACAAAAGAAAGAAAGAACTGGATTTCTTTTTTTCTTACGGGCTTCATCTAACCTTTTTTTTTTTTTTTTTTTTTAATTTATTTCTTTCGCGTTCTGTTCCTTCTTTCTGTACATGGGATTTCTCTTCCCTCCCGTTCCATTGCCTCGTCTCGGAGCGGCTGCGGTCGCGGCGTGTGTGGCGGTCGTAGTAGGGTTGGCTCTGCTGCCGCTCTGCGGCGTTCCTGGCTCACCGCTGCTGCCTGCCGTGGAAAACCTTCGAAACCGCCGCCGACACTTTTATGGTCCGACATCGAAGGCCAACCAAAACGGATTTTCGCAGCGTGTAAAAAGAAAAGAAGAGCGGTTAAAGCCTATTTGCAGGCGATCGAAGCTGGCCGCCACGTTCGAAACCTCGCGAAAGAGCGCCGGCGCTGATCTCCTCCCTTCTTTTATGTGACGTCCGCCGTTTGCTTCGCCGAAGAACGAGTGCAGTGATCTGTCGACCGTTGTAGCAGCGCGAGCAGCGTGGAGACGACTCGGCGCGTTTTGAAACCTGTGCCGGGCCGTGTAGACGGGTCTGCGGTGTGTGTGTGTGTGTTGTGTTGTGCGGTGGAACTGGACGAGGTGTTTTGCGAGAGTTCTTTGTTTTCGGGAGAACGCCGGTTTTTGGATGTCGTTGACGTTGCACGGTCTCTACGCGAGGTTGCCCTACCTGGAAACCTGCATTGGATCTGGCGCCGCATCGACCGTGAGTAGTAGTCGTCGGCACACTGCCAGCAATCCACCGTCCGTACGGGCTGGCCGCATCGAAGGAACCAAGTTGCTCGCCAAGCGGTAGGAAGAAACCGAATTTGCAAAAAAAGGCAGGCTTCGGTGCGGCGGAGATTTGGAAGAAGGGGGCACAGTGTCGAGGGTCTTGCCTAGCTGTCCGTTCAAGCGGTACTTTTTTTTTTTTGAGAGGACGACCTATTTGGCTGCTGTCGCAGCCGCGTTAAAACAAAAAAATCAGCAAGATAAAAAGAAAAAAAAAAGTTTAGCGGCATCCCTTGGGAACTGCGCTAGCATCGCTTGCATCGCTGGCTTGCTCCCGCGGCAGCAACGGCAGCAGCGTAGTGTTGAGCGTGTTTGAAAGCCGATCCGCACAGTGTTGGATAACGTGCGGCTTGCAAGACGGTCCGTCCCGTGAACGCCTGAGCGCTTGTCTCTTTCGCTTTCAGCGTTGTGGTTGGCAGTCGTCAGACATTTCGAGCTTCTCGTTGGATCTGGAACGTGTTGGATTTAATTTTTTTTTTTTTTCCTTTGAGGCGGGCAAGTTTTTCGAAGCACTGGTTGCATCGCGGGAAGTTTCGGTCGTCTGCTCTCTGTCCAAAGTGCCCGTAGTGCGTGCGTCCGCCGCGGTTTCGTCGAAAGTTTCTCCACATTCTCCGAGCCGTCTACACGAAGATCTTTTTTTCCGTCGAGAACGTCTGCTGCGAAAGAACGAACAAAACCACTCTTACGCAAAGAAATCGGCTGCTATCGCAAAGTCGTCGCTACGGGAAGAAAGCGTCTGCTATCGAAAAGTCGTCGCTACTGGAAGAAAGCGTCTGCTAGTAAGAAGAAATTGTCTGCTACTCAAAGGAATCGTCTGCTACTGAAAGAAATTGTCTGCTACGAAGATAAATATTTAGTTTGGCACCAAAAAGAAGCCGCCTGTCCCAGACACCATACTGGAGAACCAGACTAATCCCAGCCACTGTCCATCAGCTAACCAACAGTTGAACCGCTGAACTGCTGGACTGGATCCTTGAACGGCCCCACCATGAATGAAGATCCGGAATGCAACGCGCCGCTGCTGGAAAAGACAACGCTGCGCACGTTGGTCATCCCACCCCGACAAAATATGAGGTAGTAGAATTTTTCTCTCTCTCACCGCGGTATAGTTTGATCACATACCTGATTTATCCCCGGCTTGCCGCTCGCCTAAACGAGGTTGACTTTGCGTGACGCGTTTCCCTGTCTGTCTGGGTTATCGGGGACTGTAGTACATACGTCAGCCCGTGGATGTGGCACGGTTTCCAGCGTGTAACCCGTTTGGAGAGAACAGCAGCTTGCGGTGCGGTGTGCCGCTTGTTGTACACTACGTCTTGAGCGGTTGAATGATTCAGGGCGGGTTTCCGATTTTTCTTCTGCCTTCTTTTGTCCTGGTAACTTGTTTTTGTAGCGCGTCCCTGCTAAGAGTTCTCGTTAAGTCTGTTCGTTGATGCGTGGAAGTTGGACTTGGCTCACCGCCCTTTTACTGGCAATGACACGTGACTGATGGATCCATCTTGCGTTCCAGGTGTCACTCACGTGCGACCGGTTCCATCCTAACTGTAAACGCGATAAAAAAGAAGGGATACGTTCAAGATTTTTGAACCGCGTTTTATCTTTTGAACGTTTATATTTCGTGTTACTACATTCACTGGTGTTTGTTTGAACCGAGTCCATTTCGCTCATTCGTCTGGCAACCTATATACCATCAAGCCCATCAAGCTTGGTATAGTATAGACGCTTTGCAGCAGCTGTGCATGGGCGCCGCCATAACTGACCTTCAGTTTTTGTTTCCTCTTATTGAATTTTCTTTACTTCATCATTACCATAGCAGGCCAGGTTTTTGCCATCTTAAATTCTATTGCGTCCTTCTACCCAGCATTGGCGTTTCTGAAGGTTCGTCAAGAGCCGTTTCAGTGACTCGGTATCTCCATAAGACAAAAGAAGGTCAGCAATGGCGGCTGTAGTCTGGCGTAGAGCACTATATAGCTCCTTCGGAGCAGAGTAGCGCAATCTAAAACGCCGTCTCTCGGCGACTAGTGGCGAACGCCCGGAGGTTCCAACTGCGGTCAGAAATGCATGGAGAACGTGAGAAAATCGTTGTTTCTTCAGTTTTGTGGGGATGTGCGGAATGGAAATCATTTTTGACATAATAATGAAACATTTTAGAATAATATGCGATAAGTTTTGTGCCATACAAGGACGTAACTTTTTTTAAAAAATTGCCTGAGCGGCATCATGCAGCAGACGACACGGCGACGTCACAACATTCACGTGACCCGCTCCGGCCAACCCGAAAAGCCCATCTCCGCTGCGAGCAAAAATCGTCTGCTTCAAACGCCATTGCCTTGGAAATTGCCTTCTCAAAATTTGCACACTCATCCGATATTATTAAAACTTTGACACAGTGTTTAGCACTTTACTAACTTCACGACAGGCTAGTTTTGAAAAATGTGAACTCGCCGTTAGTTTTTTAATCAGCCGTGTTATGTCGATCTCCATGTATTCTCCCATAGGGCGGGCCGCCTCCTGGAACCCTGAGTACCACGTGACTCTCGCCGAGCCGCTCTGTCGGCCATGTTGTCGGCAAAACACGGGGTTCAAAGGATTGCGCTACTCTGCTCCGTAGGAGCTATATAGTGCTCTATAGTCAGTTACAGGTTAAGAAGGTAGCGGCAAATGCCCCTCAAAGGGAATCGGATATCCCTCCGCCACCTCCGCATCCAATAGCGTCCCACCGTTTCCGTGACGTCGCGGCCAACGCGCGAGGAGGGTCTTGCCTTTCTGTACATATTTGCTTTACCTTTTGACTTTGACTTAGCATTGTGGAAGCCACGAGAGGGAGATTAGAGTTCTCCCCCACCGACGGAAACAAATACGACTTTCGGGGATTAGCTTCTCCCCCGATGGATACAAAGGCTGCTTTTAGGGGCTCGGTTCCCTCTCCGATGAATACAAAGGTCGCTTTCTTAAAAAGTGGGATCGGAGACAAGTGGGAATCCATAGAAGCGGAACAAGGAGCGTTTCCAGTGAACTCTTCTTTCGACTGCGGAGAGATTTGAAACGGGCGCATCACACTTGTGGGAGGAGCTTCTCCTACCTTCTTGACTTGTAACCGACTATAGTCTGGCGCGTGTGTAAAGCGTCTATAGTTTTTGCTGCTATCTATCGCTGAATTCATTGAGTCTGAATGAGTCCGAAACTATATGGTGGCACTGCGGCTGCGTCCCACTCGTCATAGAATAATCCGACGCTATGCCTGTGAGGCTCGAAACATAATTGCGTGGTAATTAAATCACAATAACTGAATTGTAATTTAGTCCCTTTTGAGTGATTCGTAATTGTAATTTGTTACTTTCTGCGTGAAAGTAATTTTATAATTGTAAATCGATAACTTTTCTGCAAATTTGTAACAAACTCGTTACTTTTTCCTGCACGTAATTAAATAACTAACTCAGTTGCTTTTTGAGTAGCTCGTAATGGTATTTTGCCATTGTATTTTGACCAACACTCACTATAGTTGTAATGTAATCACTTCTTCATTTTAACTGTAATCAACTACCATCGTTTAAAAGTCATTGTAGTTGTTTCTTAATTACTGTTTAGAGGCAGTAATTGCAAAAAGCACGAATGGCGGTTACTCTTCTCTATGCCTTTCTTCACGTCGGAGCGAAAAAAATTACCGAGCACGTCGTGTATTCCTGTGATTGCCCTTCTGCTAATTCGCGGGGCTTTGAAAACACCGCTACTGCTCCAGGGCAACACCACCTACCTAAGGCCCGTGCGTGACGTCACCGTTTGTGGGGTTCCCGACGCGCCCCAAGCGGCGAACAAGCAAAGCGGTAGATAGATATCTCCGTTGTAGCGCTCTTCTGAGTGGTATCGGTCAGACACCGACGTCGCGGTGTGACGTGGTACTACGACGTCGTGTGACTTGAGGTCAAGTGACGTCATTTTCTCCAAGTTGCATCTATGCAGCTTTTTTTTTTTTCGGTCTCCTTCCATCGCGAAGGTAATGGGATGGAAAAAAAATTGTTATTGTTACTAGTATACATTTAGTGGGAAAATGAATAAACACACATAGAGGGAGAAAAAAGAAAACGCACCTGCGCGGTCAGATTGGGTTTTAACACAAAACTTGTTTCATCAGCCGATTTCTATGAGAGAACAGTCATGAAGGACGTCATGTGACGTCACGTTTCATCATGGCTTCAATCGGCTCTGATTAGTCACGTGACGTCATAATGTCGGTGTCATACGACGTCCCGCTCTCAAGTGACATCATGGCGTCACATGACGTCGTGACGTCACAGACCTCCGAAACGGTTCTCCATGACGGTTTTCTGGTAAGATTCGGCCGATGAGGCACGTTCCGCGTTAATTAAAACTCGGTCTTTTTGTGTGATTTTTTGTTTATACGGAACACCGGCAAACAAAACATGGCTGTGTCATATCCTCGGATAGCGTTTGCGTCGAGGTCTGCCGCTGTACACACGCGGCCCGGTGAACCGTGTATCTCATCGCGCGCGCGCGTGCTCGCGCAGTGGCATTCAGGAATTGCCCAAGCCACGTGTTTTCTTTCTTTTTTTTTTTCCGTATACCTGTACCATCCGCAGTGCGACGCAGCCAAAAAAATCTTCGAAACAACCATTGCATCGCAATTCGTGTGTCGCAGCACGCCGGTATCGCCCGGCACTCATGCCGGCTTGGTTTCGTCTTCCTTGCGCGACGGTCATACGAAAGCCATTTGCAGACGTGCTCGGACGGAGCATATACACGTGTATGAAGCGGCTAACGTAAATTATAATGTACGAGCAAGTGTGATTCCGGCTAACAGAACATAGTTACATTTTTCGCCTCCTCACCCGTGACGTCGCAAGTAAATGATCCGCGGACTCGATTTTGGAACGGCCGGAATTATCACCCGGATACTATACGCGGTTCGACTTTCGTCTTGGGCTACGGCGAAGAGAGAACATAGCAGCGATGGCGGAAAATGGCGGACGATCGCTTTTGATCATGGAGGAAGCACTCGAAGAGACGAGAATATATTAACCGCTGCGATGTTTTTATTTCACAGCGCGGTGTTCTCCGAGGTGGCTCCATCGGCTCCACTTACTCGCCTTCCCTTTTGGACTGTATATTAAGATATATATATATATATATATATACTCATTTCAGTTAGACATCATAAAAATTGGTTTTATGAATCATCGCGATCGCTGCAAGTCTAGTCCAGGTGCCCTAAACGTGTACGCAACACGCATCGTAATTTCCACCGATTACGTTTTGCGGGAATTTAGAATTCGCTTCCACATGGTGTAGCGGTACAGCCCAGGGGGGTTTAACTCAACAAGGTATAGGGCGAGGGAAAAGAAGGCCTGGGAGGAGGAGAGAGGAGGATGTTTCCTCCTCTCCCCTCTAGCATTACGTGTGCTTCTTCTTCTCCAACCTTCATTTCCCTCTCCCTGCCTTCTTGGGTTGTAACGTACTATAATTAAGTTCGCTTTGATACGAATATATTCGGAAGTCGGGTTGTCGACTGATCATATACATGAAATCTTGGAAGCCTTCACTGCTTTACAGGCGCGTTAAGGCCGGTTCACACATGCAGCGAAGTGCTAATGTAGCGCTTCTCACTTGTCGTCCGCTACTTGTTGTTTTCCATGAACAACAGTATTGACGGTGCGATACAAAGCTGGTGAACGCTCCTGTCAGCACGCGCTTTGCGCGAGGTCAGCGCTACGCTTGTAGCGCTCCGCTACATGTGTGAACAGGCCTTTATCTTCTCATTACGCGCGTTCTACATCATTCACTGCGTTCGAAGATCTTCAGCCTTGAAGGTAAGGATAGGAAGTTTACTCCAACGCCAAAGACGAGGATGCGGATAAGCTCCGGTTTACGCTCGCACTCCAGAACAACAAGCACACTTTCCTTCGGAAGGTCTGGACGTGGTACATAGTTAAATCATGTGTTCCAAATAGCAAATCCCAATAACAGACACGAATGGTTGCACCTCGTCCTCTGCCATTTCGAACTTCCGCCATCAAAGCCGATAGAGCAGACGAGCTTCGACGACTGTGAGCGCAGAAAGC